CTTTAAGACGTGTTTCATCGGCAAACATAAAAAAACCCAAAAAACGAAAAATCCCAAACTTAGACACCTTTCATGTTGTGCTGTAATAGGAGTCATTTATTTTCCATGTTTGTATGCACTACAGCAGCAATATATTGGGATTTTTTTTTCCGACATTATGCAAGATAACCTTGAGCGGAATCGTCGTGATCTGGGACGGGGTGATAGGGACGACGCACAGGAAGTGTTTTCTTTGAGGTGTCATGTTGACATTCGCAGTGAGGGTTTAGGGTGAGACGAGCGCGCTCTGTTCTTCTTACTGAAGTCGGTGTGTGTTTGTGTTTGTGTATGTGTGTGTGTTTGTGTGGTATGTTGAGCTGCAGACTCATCACAGCGAATTATCAGCACGGAACCATTCACACCACTTCAGTGAGCTACACAACACCCCATGACAGCTGGTGTTTTCATTACAGAGGCTTTCTTTCTCTCTCTCTCTCTCTCTCTCGCTCCGAGTTTGCAGCTCTCTTACTCTGTTCTTGTTTTCTCAGGGCAGCTCTCCATCTCTCTGCGCTCGGCTCTCTCAGGTGGTGACATCTATCTCTGGATGTGAGGTTGCAAGGCCACGGCAGACATATGCTCGTCCCTCTGAGTGCTGTAGTCGGAGTTGACTCACACACTCACAGACACACACAGTGTGTGCTTTTTTTCCCTTTTTTTTTTCCCCCAACAAAAGACCGGAGGCAGCTCCAGTTGGTAAACAATGGACTCATTGAAAATCTCAGGTTGTGGCTCAGTCCTAGCTGCATCACCCTTTTATTATCTTTCTATCCTGCTGCGATGTTCCTCAGTCAGGTTGTCATTAGAAACGAACAGAAATGCATGCAAACACAACCTTATCATGACAAATATAGTCACGAGAAGAGGGATTTTTCATGAATTGTATGACATGTTTAAAAAATTGCTTTTGGGGTTTTTCCTGAAGAAGGTCACATGACCAGATACATCTGTTGCTTCACTGATCCAAAGCTTCAAAGGTGGAGGAAGGCAATATCAATAAAATGGTAAATAAATGACGCACTTATATAACGCTTTTATCCAAAGGGCTTTACACTGTGTCTCATTCACACACATTCACACTCACACACCAATGGTAGCAGAGCTGCCATGCAAGGCGCTAACTTGCCATCGGGAGCAACTTGGGGGTCAGTGGGCCGGGAATCGAACCGCCAACCCTGTGGTTAGTGGACAACCTGCTCTACCACCTGAGCCACAGCCGCCCCCATGGGACATGGGACAAAAGTCCTACGTCACATCCGTATTGCTGAAATGGTCGTGTTTTTGCAGATTTTTTTTTAAACCGTTCCTAGCCCCTGTGATGGACTGGCACCCTGTCCAGAGTGTACCCCGCCTTGTGCCCGATACTCCCTGGGATAGGCTCCAGGTTCCCCGCGACCCTGAACAAGGAGTAAGCGGTAGAACATGGATGGATGGATGGATGGATGGACCGTTCCTAGCCGAGTTGATCGATGCTTGTATAATTCCTTAATGACTTTATTTTCTCTGAAATGCGTATGCACTTGGCATGGGATTATGTTGTCCTGGCAAATACTGTGGCTTGGTTTGTGTTTCGGAGCATCCGGATCCCAATGTTGTGTCACCATGCCGTTGTCCTGGCCATCGCATCACCTAGGACGGAATATATTCATGAGTGCTGAAAAATGAATGTGATCCTGGCACTAGCCACGCTCCAGAAAAGCTCTAACAAGCTGCCAGCTGCATCGAGAGATGGAGCCAATCACTTGTCATCCTCTAGTCAAAGAGAAGAAAACAGCAAACAGTGAGAAAAACCAGCCCAAAAAAGACTAGAGCAGTCATGGACCGAATGCATCACGGACTGCACTCACAAAATCAGAGAATTCGCAGTCTCGTACAAAGGATTTTCCCCGAACACTCACTGAGAGATGTATGCAGAAAAGCCATGGTTTTATTTTTAAAAAGCATTCATTGTCTGCAGGATAAAACATACTGCCTTGTCTATTTTCTTTTCTTTCTTTCTTTTTTTTTTTCCGTCCAGCGCACGGATTTCAGCGGCGCTCTATTAAACTGAAAGCCTACGGGCTTCTTCAAGCACACTCACTCGAGAAAGAAAAAAAACCCCAACAACAACAGACAAAGATTTCACAGAGAAAGGCTTTTGAATTTGTAAAAATTCATTTAATAAGACATGCTGACAAGAGAGGCTCACATATACATGCAGTATTAAAGCCGGACTTTTGCATCAGGGCTCATCTGCTCTCTCGCAGACAAAAGAATAAACAGCAACAGCAACGATTTAGAGAGATAATCAGGGCCGGGCGAAAGCAGCAAGGCAGCAGAGAGGAGAGGTGAACTGGAATGGCTTCAGCACAGGGAGGAGCAGAGGGTTAAGTGGAAGTGCCAATCTGACATGATGATGCAAGAAGAAACCGAGACGTGGAAAATGCTCTGTTCTCATAGAGGAATGCCGAGGTTGTACTGACATTAGCCTCGTCATATCCGTTTATATGAATCAGTGATTACATGCTGTACTCGTTATTTCCTAGCAGCTTCGTGCTTGTTTTCCTCCTTCGGCAGTCTCTTGTGATTCCAAATATTCGTTCGTTTTGATATAATAGCGCATTTATACGAGTGCAGGTTTAAGTGCATTTAACTACTGATGCCAATAATAAAAGTCTATGTAATAGGCGTATTCTACATCCATCCATCCATCCATCCATCTTCTACCACTTACTCCTTTTCAGGGTCACAGGGAACCTGGAGTCTATCCTAGGGAGCATCGGGCACAAGGCGGGGTACACCCTGGACAGGGTGCCAGTCCATCGCAGGGCACAATCACATACACACACACACACATTCATACACTACGGACACTTTAGACACGCCAATCAGCCTACCATGCATGTCTTTGGACTGGGGGAGGAAACCGGAGTACCCGGAGGAAACCCCGCAGCACGGGGAGAACATGCAAACTCCGCACACACAGGGCCCAGACGGAAATCGAACCCCGGACGTGTGAGGCGAACGTGCTAACCACTAAGCCACCGTGCGTCCTTGCGTATATTACATACTACAGGTATATAGTATGTATATGTATATACTATACTTTGTTCTTGTTATTGCATTAACTGTGTCACCTGTCAGCTTATTCGTCCATCCATTTAAACCAACCAATCCATCTGTCCATACTAGCATGCTAACACTTACATACTATGCACACTGGCTGTCCTGCATACTTGCACACTTGCATACTAGCACATTTGTATACTTGTATACTAGCACACACATGCATACTGGCATAATAGCAACGGTGCATACTTTAGTATACTCCCATATTTGCATACAAACATACACACTGGTATACTAACTAACACTTACATACTATGCACACTTGCATACTGGCTTAATAGCAAAGGTGCATACTTTAGTATACTACCATATTTGCACACTTGCATACTATACACACTTACACAATACTAGCATACTTGCGTACTTGTACACTTGCATACTAAATTCTTTACATTCTATCATGCTTCCATATTATACTAGCACACTTATATATTTGCATACTTGCATACTTGTAGAAGCATACTTTTTTTAAACTACTAGATTCGCTCTTGTCGCCTTGTCTCCAGGTTTATTAAAAATGCTACAAATATTATGGTGTATTTTATTCGAAATGCCAAAAGCAGACATGGTCACGCAGAAGAAAGTAATCATACTTGTCTCCAATAAACTTAAATAAGATAAAATAAAATAAGACCTGCACACTAGCATGCTTTATAGATAATTAGTCACCTATAATATGATCCGTAAAATTTCTCTCTTTGCAAACTCTTTGCTTCTTTATGATCGCTACAGCTATCGGTTCCTTCATTTCTGATCCCCTGATCCTCCTGATGTCCCGGCTCATATCTCCAGCCTGGTGGAATGGCTCTCTGAACACAAAGAGCATTATGTATGAGCCCCAGAAGGTCTCCATGCTGTCACCCTTCTTCGACACTTCACGAGATGTCACCAGTTCAGCCTTTAAAGATGATCCTCCATTTAGCCTCATACACATCAAAGCTTGGCCACGGCTCAGTCCCTACAAGGTAATGAGCGTCATGGTGGCGGCCCGATGTTTATACTTAGAAACTTTTTGTCAGAATAAGTTCTTCTATTGTTATTTGGTTTCAAGCAAGGATTAAAAACTGACCAGGTCCGAGAAGGTGCATACTGTACATCTGGTCACTTCAGTCATGCTGAAGCATGATGCCTTCACGCTCCGACAGAGCCAGATAAGATCTACCAATGCTAAATATGCTAAAGTATTCTACACTCATTTTACACTTTTACACATCCATTAAAAAAAAAGAAGTTATTATCCTGTACCTTTCAGGATACAAATGCTAGTCACGGGGGGTAACGCAACCCAAATTCTTTACTCAAGTAAACATGCAAGTACTCATCCAAATAAATAATCTGGTAAGAGTTGAAGCTGCAAATCATTTTGTATGAATATTTAGTATTAGGCGAGTTGAAAATGATCAACTCTTACATAAAGAATGAAAAAGTGAAAGTACAAGAACGATTCATGAAAGAAAAAGCAGCCTGCCTCAGATCCCACCCTGATTCAGTGCCTCTTTCACCAAGGAGACATTAGCTAAGCCTCTCTAAAAATGTTAGCTAGCATGATAATAACTCTGCCCACACAAACTAGCTGAATGCTAATTGCTATAAGTCTACATAGCAGCTGATAGATTACAGTGATGGGTATTCGGTTTCGTTCTCTCGGTCACGTCTGTTTACATTTGTTAGGATTTTGTTTATACTCTAAAAGGATATAAAGTCGGATCTCTCAGATCCAATCTCAGATTGAAGGTGTCTTGACTCCAAAACTCACCCTTCACGATTTGTCGAGAATCTCTGACCTGACAATGGTGAGTACTATTAAAATTCAATTTGGGTACTTGATTACAGCTTAAGGTCCAGGGTTGTATCTGAGGGCAAGTTTAGTGGTTAGCATGTTTGCGTCGCACCTCCAGGGTTGCGGGTTCGAATCCCGCCTCTGCCCTGTGTGAGCGGTGCTTGCATGTTCGGCCCGTACTTCACGAGATTCCTCAGAGTATTCCAGTTTCCTCCCGAGTCCAAAGACATGTACTGTAGGCTGATTTGCATCTTTAAATTGTACGTGGTGTGTGTGTGATTGTGCCCTGCGATGGGTTGCCACCCTGTCCAGGATGTCCCCCGCTCTGAGTTCTGAGTCCTCTGGGATAGACACCAAGCTCCCCGCGACCCTTTGTGGGATAAGCGGTACAGAAAATGGATGGATGGAAATACGTTATTGAACTTTATAGGTGGACAGCATGTTGGTGCAGTGGGTAGCTCCAGTGTTACAGCTCCAGGGTCAATCCTGAGCTTGACTAAATAATGTTTGTGGAGTTTCTTATGTTCTCCTTGTGGAGGTATGTGGCGACTCTAAATTGCCCCTATGGCACCCTGAGATGCGTTGACATCCCATCTAAGGTGTGTTCCCAAAATGGGATCCACGGCAACCCTGGCTGGAATAACGTGTTGACTGAAGATGAATGAATGAATTAGCTTTATAGGAAGTTGACAGTCAGAGAATTCCCAAGCCATGTCTCATACGTATTCTCCAAATAGCCGTGGATCCCTTTCTCAGGTTTGTAGAAACACAGCTACAAAAACACCTGTGTCTTTATTCTTATTTGCCAACACAACATCAGGCATCTTTCTAAAGGACCTGGTCTTTGGTATTCCAGGCATGTATCTTTTCCCCGTCCAAAAGTCAGAGTGTTACTTAGAATTCATGAAGGATGAAGTTCTCACACTGCAGGTTCAGACAAATATTGGTTAAGCCACTTGAAAGTTGCTTATGGTAATCCAACTGGCGTGTGATAGGTTGCTTAACATTCTCATCCCTAATCCTCCACTGCTTCCTCCACAAGGTTAATTAGTTGCAGGCCTCCTGAGAGCCCGTAAGCGACGGGGACTTAAGATAGAGGAAGAGGTGCTTCCACACAAGAAAACAAGGTTAATGGGATGCTCTGAGCTCGATTCTTTTCTCATATGTGTTGCTTACCTTTTCGCTCGCTCAGCATGTTCCTATAAAGGGAACAAAAAAAAAAAACAACAACAAAAAAAAAACAACAGCATTGCATTCAATGCAAATATACCATACAATACAACCCCAAATAACTGGGTTTGTCATGGATGTTGGGTGGAGTGCAGGTGCAGCAGGTAGTGTTGCCATCGCAGGGCTCCACGGCCCACGGGTCGATCTTGAGCTCAGGTCTGTGTGGGTTTCCTCCAGGTCCTCAAGTTTCTTCCAACTGTCCATAAACATGTCGGTAGACAGATTACGTACTCTCTAGTTTGTCCCTAGGTGTGACAAACTAGAGAACCCTGACCACCACAACCCGGATACAAGATGAAGATATGAATAAATAGATAAATATATCTTTATTTTAGCCCCCTACAAGATTTACAAGTTTTGACCTTAACTAACACCTTGATCTAAGAAAAGGTAAGGTGTTCGTGTATGTTCTAGTCGAGGGTTCATGATTGTCTGTGACGTCTGTTCTGAAGTGAAGCCTACGCAGGAGCAATTTGATAGTCAAGAGCGTTCAAGGCGGCCATCTGTAGGGTCATTTCTAACTGAAGTATTGGAAACCAATTACTTGAATGGGTCCTTAAACAGTTCTTATTGAACCAGTCACTTGATGGACACTTTCGTCCCAATAGTCTTTGTTGTGTTATTACGTCTGGACAAAAAAGGCAACTGGGAAATTACGGTTTATTTATAGCCTTTATTCCACCTTTTTATGGTGGCTACGGCATACTTCAGCAAGACAATAACACAAAACATAAATGCCTAGCAGGGGTAAGCGGTAGAAGATGGATGGATGGATGGATGGATGGATAAATGCCTAGCATCATACAACAGGTTTGTCATCCTTTGCATGTGCTATAAATTAAGACAGAATACAGAGTTCAGTGATCGGTTCACGGTGGAGCAAAATCCCAACGCCTGTCACTTTTAACCTCGTATGCTTGAGGACTCTTCAGATTTGCAGAGAATAGGGCACAGGCCTGATCATTTCGGAACGGACCATAGCTTATATTATCGGAAATTGAAATGAGTACTTTGCTGAAGTGCAGCTCAGTGAGGAGAGATTCAGATTAAGCCTTTTTGAAGCTTGCCGAGTTCACACAACATGCCCCAAATATGCGTTTCCTACCATGACAGTGTAAAGAATTGTATTTTTTAAGATTTGCACCTAAAAGCAACCCACCAGAAGGCAATCCATAATTAGAAAACAATAAGTGCGCATACCTAATAATTATTTCAGGGCAGGAGCAGTTGGGTAGGCGAGAGGTGCAGGGTTGAATACCCATCAGGAAGAAAATAGGCTCGAAGAGATTTACAGGGTGAGAGATGTCGGGTTTATTCGAATAATTAAAGCTCTCTAACAAAACTAAAACAATGTAACTGAAACAATGTATACTCACTTTCATAATTTAGAGAAACATCCCTCCATCCATCCATCCATCCATCCATCCATTGTCTGTACCGCTTATCCTAGACAGAGTTGCGAGCCTGGAGCGTATCCCAGGGAACTCCTGGATGGGGGTGCCGACCTGTCGCAGGACACGATGACACACGCATTCACACACTATGCACAATTTCGTGATGCCAATCAGCCTCTTTGGACTTGGGGAGGAAACGGGAGTACCCGGAGGAAACCCCCGTAGCACAGGAAGAACATGCAAACTCCACACACACAGGGCGGAGGCGGGATTAGTATCCCCAACCCTGGAGGTGCGAGGCAAATGTGCTCGACACTAGTTCAATGTTCCCCCAATTTGCAGAAACATATTTAGGTTAGTGTCATGGATCTAAAATTGGATTAAGCAACATGTGCGTCTGTCCATCCAATCCAATCCAATCCGTGTTCACCGTTCTGTCTTTGTTCCCTACACTTATACCAGGTGAACGAGGCACTCAGCTTTAGCTTAACAAGTGGGAAAAAAAAGAGTGCAAAAGTGCAATTTAAAAAAATGATTACAGATTCTGATCGTGAATCATTTTTAAAAAGTCGACGAGACTGCTTCTCCTCTCCGGCGCTGTCTATCACGAAAAAACATTTATTCAGAGTGATTAACTACTTTTTTCCAACCACACGGGGCTAAGTGTCACCCCGTCTCTCTTGCCCAAGTGTATTGAATATTTTAGTCATCTCTGAGTCATGTGATAGTTGTTTGTTTGTGTGTGTGTGTGTGTGTGTGTTTGTCTTTGTGCTTCTCCAAAACACATTTCAAACTCTGAAATATATATTTATCCCCCCCTCATCATATTGGATTTGATTGCTTGCCCATTTTAACAGCAATTATATATTGTTATTACTGCTGTTATATATTATTATATTTGACAGCAGCTCTGACAGTCCAGAGTCCAAGTCAAATCACAGGTCCATATTAATGCACTCGTTAGCGTTTCTATGGTAACCGAGAGCTGTATGGTGGACGCACCGCATCAACGCAACAAATTCAAAGCGAAAACAAAGACTAACTATGCTAGCACTCATAATAACGTGTGTCTAGGCACTGAATTAGCATCCGTCAAATATAATCACGCTAACTAGCGTTTTTGTTAGCCGTAATGGGCTGTTTTGTACAAAGAAAAGTCAGAACTGACTGTCCAGCACGACTCCTTCTGTTTATTTGCCTTGCGAGCATCCTGGCACGGATTTCTTTCTCAGTGGGCACTGAATAAAAGAGAACCACCAAGAAGATATAGTAAGAGAGTGAGAAAGAAACAGAAAGAGAAGTGTGTGGGGGGGGGGGGGGATAGGGGGGCTAGCCGAAGTGTGAAAAGTCTGAAAGTGTGCTCTACACCTCCTGACAGACGAACATGGTGGGGTTTGAAATGAAGATTGGCTTCGGGAATCCTTCACATACACCTCTGAGCAACAGCAGGTGAAGGGTTTTATATCAGCCAGAGAGCTGCCAGCGATCCCACCACGGAGTGAGCGATGGAGTTTACTCGAAACCACACCGCGGTTCCTGGAGAAAGGAGGCCGCCGTCTCTGCATGGAGTCCGCTCTGTGGCTTCTGTCGGTTTATAGCTGAGATAGGGCTTTGCTGAGGAACTAGTTCTCATCTGCGAGGCATTGCTATTGGTGTTGAATAAACAAAAACATTTGAGTGACCTCAAACATAAGAACTAACAGTCAGGATTTGGTGTTATCGTCGTTAAAAACACCCCAAAAGACAGAGAGATTCTTTTCTCACTCACCAAATATTCAAAAAGTCCCCAGAATGCAATGCAGGCATCCTTATGCTGTTACTCAGTGATCTACGGGATGACGAGCGCGATGATGCGATGACGTTTCCGGCTGGTATTATCATGGAAGTTGAAGCTTAGGAAGATGGTCTGTCTGAGCCAGGTGTGCAGGCGAGTGAGCCGGACAGACGAAATGACTGATGCACCGCTGCAGCGCTCTATGAAGTAGCCGAATGTAGTTTAACAGCATTGTGCGTGTGCAGGAAACACATTCTTACACCGCATGCTAGCGTATTTGCAATGCTTACTTCCACTTCTTTGCTTACACTCTGGCATACTTGTTGAAGAAGTACTCGAATACCCAGCATTCAACATTTAAGTGTCATTCACAGTGTGTGTAAATTAAAATATACCCCATAGGCATCACCGATACAGGCTAGAAGTGACAAATATGTGTGGATTATGAGCTCAAAATCAATGGTGTGCAGTGAATGGAAGTGATTTAACACACACACAAGGAACGATAGAGTGGAGAGAAAACTGCTACTGATGGGAATTTGATTTAGCGTCCCATGACAGCGCTGAAGCGCTCGGTATTAGCCGCTGATTCATTTTTATTTATTTGTCTGTTTATTTTTCAGACTATTCATCTGTGAAGCTGCTCACACTGACAGCGTGAAATCTGCTCTCAAAAAAAGCCAAACCCCTCCTCACAAAAAAACGTGCTCGCTGTGTGTTAGCTGGGATACGACGGTATCGTTTCTGAATT